CTTACCTCCACAGTTTCTGATGCAGTACTATTGGGTGCTTTTTAATTTACTTAATACACATTCACTGAACAGCTACTGTATTAATTTAGCCAACAAATATTTATTGAGTACTCACTCTGTACTAGGCATTCCCTGGGTGCTAGGGATTTGGCAGTGAACAGAAACAACAAAACTCCTGTCTCGTGAGCTTATATTCTAATGGGGCGAGACTTAGCCAGACAGTATGTGTCGAACTAAAAACAAAGAGATGACTAAAAGACTCCTTGCTGTCAGAGAACTTACAGCCTAGGAATAATGCAATACGTTTTATTGTTGTTGGTATTTTAAGCAGTGCTTACTTTTTTCAGGGAAACTTTCTCCATTTAAAAAAAAATTGATTTTAAGTAGTTTATTATCTTGTGTGATTTTAGAAACATGTCCTTTTGTATGACATAAGTCAAAGAGGAAATAAGAATATAAATATTAATATAAATGGTTTCTTAAGCAAATTTTATCAGAAATCATATTTTTGGAACAATAGGTATCATTGGGGAGATAATTCAGGCCCAGGCTTACACTTATCTGGAACTTTCTGGGGAAAGTATTGATAATGAGGTGAAGAAAGAGTGCGATGGTGTAGATGAACTGAATCTCGGAAACTCTGAAGGCTCTCTCCTCGCCCTTCTGTGGCAGCAGCAGCAATAGAGTGAAACTATCGTGTGATTTTCCTCAATTAGCATAGCAGTTTTGCCTCACGTTTTCGAAAAGCGCTAATAGATGTTAACTCAAAATAGATTAAAATACCAGACAAATTGCTACTACCTTAAAAAGAGTTATAATAATTTTGAAAATGTAAATTATGGTTATGAAGTCTTTGAAGAGAACTATAAAATCCAATCTTTATTTTATTTTTTAAAAAAAAACCTGCAGTACATGCTTTTTTCCCTTTAATCACAGTAATTTCTTCAAATGACACTGCTACATGTTTCTTTAGGAAGATACATTACATTTTTCAAATCTCATGGGTAATATAGGAGTTGCCATTGATAGTTTTCAGCAAGAGGAAAAGAAATCGAATACAGAAACTAGGGATCATGGGGAAATTTAAAAAAAATCATCTTTATGTTCTCTTTTTATATTACGTACTTTTTATGCATTGGAACATAGAATGGTGCTTTTCATTCTAGAGAGTGGAGTTGTGCATGGCAAAATGTCTGCAGAAATGTGTGTGTGGGCATAAGGGTTTAAAATGATTTGGACCCTCCTGGTGTCTTACATTCAACTCTTTCTCTAAGGCTCCAAAGTGCTTATGGAGTCTATACAAAGAGGTGAGCATGATTTGTACTTAATGAAAATAATTTTAGTGTAAAATTTGTCACACTACATCCCCAGGAGACATTATAAGTAAAAGATAGAACCTTCCTGGTGGGTGCACATGTATTTCCCCTAAATAACTTCTACCCAACAAAGCTCTAAAATAGAATATTTGCATTTCCCCACTACTTTGTTTTGTAGAATTTACAGAGCTTATTTAGCAAAAAGATTTCTTAGAAGACACATTACAACCACAGAGGGTTACTGGTACCATTTTTCATACAGCAATGTCAAATTACTATCTATTCTTGCCCAGTACCTGTGAAAGCCAGAGACCTAACACAGTCTATGTTCTCAACTACAGGTATACCTTCCTTTATGCAACAGAAATAGGTAAATTGAATTTTGGTAAATCAAAGGATATATAAAACACATAAGGAGAACTGACAAAAAAAACCCTACCATGAAAGTCTTTACTAAAGTGTACAATTATCCTCTAATTTATTTACTCCATAAATACATAGCTTCATGTATCAAGTTTGCTTAAGGTGAATTGTCTCTCTCCTCCTGCAAAACTGTTATCACATAAACATGTTTTCTGTTTTTAAAAATTGGACCTCCAAAACCAATTGCCTGTCAACCTTACATATAAAATTTTGCACAGGCCTGTGTATAGATTGTAAAAGATGTACCATAGAAGACAGTCCCCATCTTTGTGGTGGGTTTAAATGTTTTCTCTTCTCCATCCTCTTTTCATCTATTTTCAGTTAGTTACTCCTTGAATGCTACATGGCTTGGACCGCGTTTACTTCCTTTACAATGCAATACAGATTTTCCGAGGGTCCTCTGTTACAAATGACTTCGCCTGTCCCTTAGGGAGACCTGCATCCTTCCGGGTGTGTTTATGGCGGGAGGGAGGAAGGTAACCTGACTGCAGCATGAGGAGCATCAGACAAAGAAAAGGGCAGATTTCCTGAGAATGGATATTTCAACCCAGACTGTGTTATTAGGGAAAGTTCTTAAGTCTCCTCCAGAGAGCATTAAGATGGAATAGATTCTTCTTGTATGTGAAATGTATTTTAAAGGTTACTTCTTGCCCTTTGATTATTTTATTTTCAGCATTATAACTAATGTTATCAAGGTTTATTTCTGAAATATCTCAGAAGTGGAACGATATTCAGCATCACTCTGGAGAATTGGTCACCCTAACATATCGTTAATTAATAACCATTTATTGAGTGCCCGCTGTGGTAACAAGAGCTACCATTTGGGGACCTCTTTTAGTCAGTCACAGTGTTCAACATATTATTACATTTAATCCTTTAACAATCCTGTGGCATAAGTACTTTTATCCTGTTTTTACTGTTGAGGAACCAAATCTTAAAGAAGTAAAGTGAAACCAGGATTCAGACCTGTTTCTGGTTGACTCTGAAGTCCATGTATGAACCACAGTTGTGGTATTTCTTCTCTGCTGTGTGTACAGCTTGATAGCCTTAAAGAAAAAAGGCAGTCTCGGGTCCCCAGGGCCTTTTGTTCAGGTGGAAGAGATGGGCAAATAAAGAGATGATTGCAATGCAGTGTGAGAGTGCTTAAATAAAGGATGAGCCTTGCAGCGTGCCCACCATGGGTGCACAGGGAAGGGGTACCTCACCCAACCTCATGGGGAGTAGACTTGCTTGGGGAAGGCTTCCTGAAGGAGAGAAGTCCTGAGCTGAATATGAGTTGCTTAGGAAATTCTTGGTCTTTGTGATTAGTGTCTGGCTTTGCCTTGCTCTTGGGTTTCTATTTTTTATTTGTAGTTTGTTATTGTTTTATCATTCATTCACTAATAACTAAGCCTGGCTCATGGATACAAAAATGATCATGGCTCTGTGGACCTTATATTGGAGCAGAGGAAATAGACATTAAAGCAATTATAAACTGACTTTATAATGTAAGTACTGTGAAGGCAAAGTAGGCAATGTTGGAAGAATGAATAACCTTGCCTAACTTGGGGAGGGAAGCAGGGATAGGGCAGTGACCAAACTTCCCTGGGGAAATGACGTTGAAGCTGAGGACTCAAGAATGAGTAGAAAGTAAGCATGAGAAGGGAATTTTAAGGGGGAAATGGATTAAAAAGCATTCCAGGTAAAGAGAACAGTATGTGCAAAGACACTGAGGCCAGAAGGAAGTTGGACAGCTTAACAGTCTGAAATCAGGTCAGGTGACTAGATAGTTTCAAAAATACACTAGAGAGACAGGCAGGGCTAGATCATGCAGGCCTTCTGAGTGTAGTGTTAGAAGCTGCTTCAATTCAAGCAAGGCCTAGACCATAAATTTAAATTAAAAAAATGAAAAATTATATTGCTTAAAAATCCTCTTACAACCATCAGTTCATATTCTCAACTCTAATTTGTATGTCAGTTTTGCTTTTTTACTCATAATTATTTTCTTCTTGTTTTTGAAAACGAAATTTTATACATCATATGTATATCACAGAAAGAATTAACTGCATGGCTTGGTTAAATTTGGAATGAAAGTTGATTTAAACACAAGCAAGTCTCGAGTAGAGAGATATTCTGACAAAGATTAAGAATAATCAACACAATGTTGAAATATCAACTCTGAACTTTTAAAAAAAGATTATATATAACATAGTTTTCCAAATCACCCAGAAAACACCATGTTATTTCAGCAAAGTGCATAGGACTGAATGTCACGATCATTGTATTCCTAAGCAGACTCTCAAAGCAAACAGCAAGGATTTGATGTTGTTTTAGGTTTTTCCTGGTGGTCCTGATCGGTTTCAATAATGGACAGACATGGAGTGCGAGCACAAAAGTGTGTATCACCAGCACCTTCTTTCAGACCAGCTTACTCAGTATTAATGAAATATTGATGTATTTGAAAATGCCCAAGCGTTCAATAAAGATTTTAAATAAAGCTACCTAAAAGTTGTGGTTCTTAGGTTAATCATTTATTTATCTAAAGGATGAAGGAAGCTGTCTACTTCTGTGATATGAACTGCAATCAGCTTAAAAATAATTGACAAATTAATCCCTTCACAGCACAGCAATTGTAAAGGTGTTAGTTTTAATTAGGCCTGTCTGATTGCCTTGTCTAATCAAGAATCAAGGTGGTATCTTTGATGGTTAAGGTCTATTGGGGCCATCCCTGACCTGCCAGCCATGTATGTTTTAATTATTGATTCCTCACATTTCAGCCCTTTTCACAAAGGGACTTGAAGTTTGCAATACCTTAACATTTAAAGGGAAGAAAAATAAATATTTTCCCCAACACTTCTATCTAGAAGGCTGTGTATCCTCTCCACTAATCTACATTTTCGTCCTAAGAAAGCTGCCAGGTTGATGACGAAGTCAAATGCACTTGAAAATGCCATCTTACTGCTGCCTTACCTCCCAAGCACTAGATTTTCACTGGACGTTGTTAAGATCTTGACAAGTCACAGTCATTTATGCTTCTAGAAAACACATTTGATTTCTTGATGTCCTATGTCTTTTTGAAAATGTCTAAGGGCAAATGTAGTACTTAGGAAATCAGGGCGGTCAGACCAAAGGGGACACATACCTTTTCACAAAACACTTTCTCATGCTGCTGGAAGGCATGAGGCAAGGGTTCCTAGTGCCAGGAGAAGCAAGCTGGTGTGCGTGAGCGGCTGGTGGTTTCGGTGGTCCCTGTGTGTGACGGCGGCTCTTCTCTGGTTGCAGGTCAATGAAGTGACGGTGGAACAGCTGGTGCAGCAGTACCCACACATCACCTTCAGCACCGTCCTGCAGGACTGCAAGAGGACCTTGGAGAGAGCCTATCAGATGGGCTGGACTCCCAACATGTCTGCCGCCTCCTCCTAACACTCCCGCCCCCGCCTATGTCCGCTGGGATCGCTCAGCAGGGCAGAGGGGAATTGTAGATTTGGGGTGGGTGATCTCTTGGAAAGGTTTTAACTGTCATATGTCTACGTGTGTACCCAGGTGTGTATATTTGTGTCTCGTTTGCATTCAGCATAGCATAAGCGCAATTACTATTTGTTCCTAGGTGAGCTGAGTTTTTCCTTAAAAATTAAAGATTTTGAAAGCCACAAACCTTTTAGTTTTTAAATTCAAAGGCTTATTTCTCTCAAAGAAATATTTTTTTTTACTATACAATCAAAAAAATTGGGTCTCTTGTTTTGAGCTTCTAATTACTGCCACTTTGAGATGCCCAAAATTGAAGGCAGCTGCCTTCTTTTCTCATTGGATGGAATTGTGCGCTCTACTGATGACCAGAACAGAAGTGATGTTGCACTAGTTAGAAGCCTGGAAACCAGTACTTTTCAAAAATTGAAGCACATACGCACATATAGGTTCTCGCATTCTGTCGTATACACGCACATGTGCATGTGCACTTACACACACACAAGGGCAGTCTCTTTCCAGATCATTTTCTGATAAGTGGCCTTCCTCCAGGCCACTGAGGGAGCATGTCATCCGCTGTGACTCTACCTGGCTCATTGTATCCACAGGTGGCCAACTTGCTATGTGGTGGGTAACTTAGGGACTAGAGAGAAAAAAGCCTTTTGTGAAGTTTTTATATAGAGGCAACAATCGGGACTCCCCTGGCCAGCTCACAAAAGTTAATTATTCATTATTCTACAAATGCAGTCTGTTGAGTACTAAATGTTTTTGTTGAGTTTTACGTTAACATTGTGTTGTCTTTTTTTTTCATGGATAGTAACTGGTCCAGATATATTTTAATGATATTTGGAGCTAATCTTAGCATTATCCACTTTAAAGCCACCAATTGTAATTAAGAGTGTGCAGTTATTTAAAAAAAATCCTACAGATCATTCAATTATTTTTGTTAATTTTGGTAATTATGAAAGTATATTTCTGAGATTGGGGGTAGTCACATTAATAGAAGATTAATGAATGAGATGTAAGTAGACAATCTTTCGATCGATTTCTTTTCTTTTTTCTTTTGCTTTGGGCTTTAGAAGAGGCTTTTTGGATATATGCACGTTTTCATTTTTTGAATAGTTCTTATGCTACTGCAAAGATCTGTTGTTGGTTGATGTATAAGTTAAGAAGAAAAATTAGAAAATCTTTTTATTAAGATTCTGTTTACTCTTGTCAGAAATAAACATTTCTTTTGTTTAATTAAAGATTGCTAGCTTTCAGTTAAGACAGTATCTATCAGTAAATGAATATATGTTTTGATTTCACACATCTTTGCAATGAATTCATAGTAGGGACTCAGGCTCAAATAACCTTTCCTGTGTCTAGATGTATAATCAAGATGGCAGGGAGCCTTTTTAAGCTAAAGAGTGATTATCTTTCATCGCAGAGCTAGATATAAACCCTGACTTGTGAGTTTGGTATTTATTCTTCCCCAATGTGGACATAACTGTTTTTTGGTCTTTAACAGATATACTAAGGTTGGAGTTTCACTTTCTGTAAGTCCCAATATTGCTAAAATTACTAGCTGTAAGAAATGAAAAATAGCTTTACAATTCAAATGCCATTCACTTATTTATAATGACTCCTTTTTTTTGTAAACAACTGTTTCCTTTGATTATGTCAACATGTTTCTGATGTGGCATTTTTTTGCTTTTAATCCCAATCAGTTAGGAAAATCTAGTCAGTAAGCACCAAGGGTATTTTTTCCATCAGTAAATGGGTTACTAATTTAATGGGAAGGGAATAAAATTTGTGTCAGAAAAAAAGCTGTTTACTATTAATAAATTGTAGTTTTTCTTATACATCAAACTGTATCGTTTTCATATTCATTTCCCCAACACTGAAAAATATCTTAATTCATAATGTTTTAACTGTTTTTAATCCAAAACTAATTTATAAGACAGGTATATATAGTAATAGTAGCTTGAGTAAATAAGCAAAAGTTTAATTTTTATATATGTTACACTATATTTTAAATAGTTAAAAAAGACAAAAGAAGGGAGAGCCATCAATGAGATAGATGGTGCCATTTCAGTTCAAAGTTGTAATAATCTTTGGAGTGTTACAGTTTGATTGTCAGATGGTTTCAGAAGTGTATAATTGATTTGTTTTTAACGTTGCGTTGTTTGGATCTAAAGTACAGCACTGTAACATGCTTTAGCTTGGGGGTTGGGGGCTTGCACTTATCCTTTAGGATGTTCATTAATCCAGAAAGCCTGATGCAACATAACCTGGAAAACTGCTTTGGTATATTTGTAGAAATCTGTGGAAATATCATGTCCAGCCTCAAAGCATTAATCTCAAAAAACAGCCAGCAAAAGCATCACCTTGAGTGATCCTGTGATGGTTGAAAGTGTGTTCTCATTAGATGCTTTGAAATGAGGCTTCCAGTGATTTTTCTGGGCAATATAGACTTTCTTTTTTTGCTTAGAGTGTCATAAATATATGTGAACACGTTTAATGCAGGGCTTTTTATCCTCTCCAAAATGTCAACAGTATTTTCAGAATAAAGATTATGAAATATATTGCTGTAGTGGAAAATTCTGGTCCTTTGTCTTTAATGTCTTTTTGAGTGGATAAAGGAAATTCACCCGGTTTGTAGTTTCTATATTTCCGTGAGTCTTTTGACCTTGCAATGGGTTGCAATAAAAGAGAAACAAAACACTGTGTCTTTTGTTTTATTTTAGAGACAACAAACGGCCTTCCTGGTGCTGGTCGGGTGTGTTGCGGCGCAGTGGCCCATGTCCTTGTGTGTTTCACTGCAGACTTTATGTAGGTTTAACTAACCCAGAATAATAAATAAGACTGGGTTTAGGAGGTTCTAGTTTGACCGGTAATTAATGAGATAAGATTAAAACCTCAGGGGTTAAACAAGTAGTTTGTTTAAAATCCCATTCCCTAAACACTCATTCATTTGCTTTGCCATTTATTCAGTTTTTCAAAAGTAAATCAATATTGAGTAAAAAATATGTGCCAGGCAGTGAGCATTTAAAAATAAATGAAACTCATCCCCATCCTCAGGTTGCTCATAGTCTAGCAAGTAGACGTTCTTGAACATTAGCAATAGCAGTGGAGCACAATAGACATAATATGGGCATAGTCAGAGGGAGCACACACAGGACAGAGTGGTGGGTTTGGAAAGGAAGAGCTTCACAGGGAAGGAGCTTTTAATGAGGGTCTAAGGAGTCACAGGAGTTTACCAAAGTTACTGTGGGGAAGGAAGGGAGGGCAACCTGGAAAACGGAAAATATGTGCAAAGGCATGAGGGAATGAGACAGCAAGACACGTCCAGGGCGTTTGAGGTAACTAAGTAAAGTAGAAGAATATGTTCTGTAGGGACAAAGGGTAGAAAAAGGTTCTAGGAGTAAAACGGGCTAATCATAAACTTTTCATGGCCTATTGAAGAGATTGGACATGTAGAAAAAAATCAGATCCACTAGAAAAGTCTTACCCTAAATTCTTTCAACAAGTAGAAATTTAAATACAGGACTTGTATTTCTGGCAATATGGTAGAATGAAGATCCTGAAAGATTTTCTATGTAACATCTAAAAATTTTTATTAAAATATTTTAAAATCCTTTTAAATGACCGGATGTGCCTGCAAATAAGCAAAAGAAACCTCTTGTGGCCAGGAATAGGGTGCAAACATCAATCTAGAGCAGGGGTCAGCAAACTACAGGCCAAATATGGCCAGATGCATATTTTTGTAAATAAAGTTTTATTGGAACACAACCACACACATTTGTTGATATGTTCTCTACGGCTGCAGTCATGCTACAACAGCAGAGACGAATGGTTTGACAGAGGCCGTGTAGTCCATAAAGTCATGAATATTTACTATCTGGTCCTTTACAGAAAAAGTTTATTGATCCCTGGTCTAGAGGAGTGGGTCTCAAAGTGTGGTCCCCAGACCAATTACATTAGCATCACCTGGGAATTTGTTATAAATACAAATTCTTGGGCCTCACCTCAGACCTACTAAATCAGAAACTCAAGGAATAAGGCCCAGCTATCTGTGTTTTAGAAAATCTGGGTGATTCTGTTACATGCTGAACTTTTACTTCTAGAGAGAGAAGCTTGGAAACTACCAGAATATGGGACACTATACTGATCATGATAGCCTAGAGAATGTGTACAGAACTTTGGGCCACTGAGTTAATGCGGAGTCAAATCAGAGTCATTCTCACATAAAACCAGGATCCCTAAAAGGCAATACGCTTTTATAAATAGTGAACTAAAATAAAACAAAAATTGAAGAGGCAAACAGTAAGGAAAATTACCATTTTTTACCTTGGCTATTCATGAGTTGTTGTTTTTTTTAAAGGTTCTTTTGAAAAAATTAATAGTCACTGGCTACCATTCCCATGGGTTTATTACCTGAATCTATACTATTTTTATAGTTTGTGTTGCTTATAACTGTATTTTTAAAAGGATTCATTTCAGAAGTGTTCATTGCCTGACAAAAGCAGACAAAAATCATCCCTGGAGAAAAGTACCCTCAATTCAGGCCGGTCCGGTGGTGCAGCGGTTAAGTGCACATGTTCTGCTTCAGCGGCCCAGGGTTCACTGATTCGGATCCCAGGCGCGAACATGGCACCACATGACAAGCCATGCTGTAGTAGATGTCCCATATATAAAGTAGAGCAAGATGGGCACAGATGTTAGCTCAGGGCCAGTCTTCCTCAGCAAAAAGAGGAGGATTGGCAGCAGTCAGCTCAGGGCTAATCTTCCTCAAAGAAAACAGAAAGAAACCCCAGAAATAGAGTGCCAGCAAATACAAACTCACAATCTAAAAGCAAGGAGAACAACAGGAAATAAGCCAGCATTAGTGCAAGTCAACAGAAAAAACAAACGAGAGACCCACATCCTCACAGGCTTCAGTGTTAAATTTTCAGATGCATAATACAAAGTAAACGTTAGTACTCAAAAATATAAAAAAGTTATTTGAAACATGTATAAGAAAAAAAGAAACCAGTAAAAATGAACAGATAATTTTTTATTTGAGAAAGATTAGCCTTGAGCTAACATCTGCTGCCAGTCCTCCTCTCTTTGTTTTTTGCTGAGGAAGACTGGCCCTGAGCTAACATCCCTGCCTATCTTCCTCTACTTTATATGTGGGACACCTGCCACAGCATGGCTTGATAAGCAGTGCACAGGTCCATGCCTGGGATCCGAACCAGCAAACCCCAAGCTGCTGAAGTGGAGCAAGTGAACTCAACTGCTGTGCCACTGGGCTGGCCCCAACAGGTAGATTTTTAAAAGAATTAAATAGAATTTTTAGAAGTGAAAACTATAATAATCGAACATTAAAATGAAAGGCTTGAGTAGTACAGGAGATTCAGCTAAAGGGAGAACTCATAAACTGAAAGGTAGATCTTAGTAAAGTAAAAGGGAAAATCCTGGCCTTTTCTTTTGTATGGATAATTTCCTGTGGAAGATTGAGAGGTTAAGACCTGTGGGACTTTGTATGAGGCTTTCCAACGTATCTATCTAATCCAGCAGAAGCAAAAATAGAGTAGGGAAAAGACAATGTTTAAATATGATAATGGAGATAATGGAGTTTCCGTTTGTGGAGAAGAAAAAAAGTCTTTGGAGGAGAATATCAAAGGCTCAGTTTGGGATGTGTTCATTTTGAAGATGCTCATTAGACATCCAGGCGAGCGTGGGGAAGCATGCAGCGGGATAAGGAGTTCAGTTCGGAGGAGAGGTACATGGATGGTATACGGATGGTGTTTAAAGCCATGAGCCTGAAATCATCATCGTTGGTCATCATCCATTAGTTTAGATAAAAAGAGAAGTCTGAGGACTGTGTCTGGGCGCCCCAACATTCAGAAGGCAGGGAGAGGAAGGAAACTCTTTAGAGGAGGCTGAGATGGAATACCCTGGGAGGTAGGAGGAAAACCAGGGGTGTGTTCTGTTCTAGAGTCAAGCGAAAACAAGCAAAATTAAATAAGCTGTTATTTAGGGATACAAGTGTATTTATAAAAAGAGAAAAAGGAAAAGGTAACAATTGCCGAATTTCAGAGCGGTGGTTACCTTTGGGTGGACAGCTGGTGGGCTGGGATTGTAGGACCACACGGAGGGCTCCAGCTGGATCTGTAGGTTTGGCGTCATAAGTCGAAGAGTGGCTTCACCAGTATTTTATTAAGATGCTTCATAACATATGCATATGTAACAAATTATTTCGTATCAAATATTTTATTAAATTTTAAAAGAAAAAAGTTTTATACCTTGTTTAAATTGATTAATGATCAGGAATTGTCAGACCTAGATGCAAAGTTCCCTACCCATCCTTGTGGTGCTGAGACAGCTGTGAGAATCCTTGTAGCGTATCTGTCATGTCATTACCACAGGAATCAAAGGACCACTATACTGTTTTGTAAAGCTGTGGGGGGCCCTTTCATTATCGCTTCATTTTTAATTACACAGATAAATTTGGTATCAAAACCTTTGAGTAATACAGAGACTTTTCTGATAATGTGATAATCTGTAGTTGAAAGAACAGTCAGTTAGGGTCATGTCTGTCCATTTCATTATATGAACAAACCACAATTTATTTACCCATATTACCATTGGTGGATTTAGGTTTCCTGTTTTGAGCATTGTGCTTAGTAAAATTAATCCCAGTTTGTTGTGATATTTAGTAGATACAAATACAGCATTATAGCTTCCTCAGTCCTTGGAATGCCACCATCTCCAGGAAATAAACTTCAGAAAACTGAAATCATCCCTAAGAAATAACCCTAAAGAGCATCCCTTCTCCTATGATTCTGCTTGGCTAATCAAACTAAGTATGGATGCCATCAGCCCAAGAAAGAGAAACATCCAAAGGGCAAACATTTGTTTCAGCTCTTTTCTTCACCACATGACGGGTGGATGTTTCTTGCACTTTTCCACAGTTTGCCATCACTTGAGAGATCTGAAGATGAGAGGCATCAACGTTGAGTGGCCTGAGGACACATGGCTAGACCACACTGATGGGCACTCCCTCAGTTCCTCGCTCTAGTCTGAAATCCTCCAATGGTGTGGCTGTATGTGTGCGTGTGTGTGTGTGTGTGTGTGTGTGAGTGAGCACATGTGCATGTGCACTCAGGTGCCCACATGCACTATCTAATCATAAATGATGCCTACTGAAAGCAGTCTATTGAGTTTTTTTGTTCTTTCTTCCTTAGAGTTCTTTAGTGATTAACATAATAGAAAATGAAAAAGTAGCAACTTAAGAAGGGCTTTTTAAAAAGAGGTTTTATAGTGGTTAAGTTTGTATGTTTCACTTCAGCAGCCCAGGTTCGGATCCCCGGTGTGGACCCACGCACCACTTGTCAAGCCATGCTGTGGCAGACATCCCACATATAAAGTAGAGAAAGATGGGCATGGATGTTAGTTCAGGGCCAGTCTTCCTCAGCAAAAAGAGGAGGGTTGATGGCAGATGTTAGCTCAGGGCTAATCTTCCCAAAAAAAAAGGTTTTATAAAAAAAAGTAGATGCTGCTTTAATGGGCCTGGGTGGCTACTGACAAGCGTGATTTTTATAAATAATGCCAAAATGAATGGAGAAAGCTCAGCCAGGTTGGTTTTGTTAACAGAAACAATTCTACTGTATTTTAAGCAGCATCTTGCAATTGAGTCACTTATTGGCTTAAGTGAAAAAAAAGACAGCTTAGTAA